CGATTCCATGATTCAACACAATCGGCATGTGATCCCTCAATCTTTGTTTACACTATCTTCATCACGGTACGCACTCACCACCCACTGGCAATCTGCGTAGAAGCAGGAGTAGGAGCGTCGGCACTGCGGATAACTCTGGCGCCGTGGCGCCAGAGCCGGCGGTCCGACAACATTAGGGCTTTCGGTTTAATTGGGATTTTGGGTTTAATTAGGACCTTGGGTTTAACTAGGGTTTTGGGTTTAACTTGGGTTTTGGGTTTAAGCAGGGTTTTGGGTGTAATTAGGGTTTTGGGTTTAGCGGGATTTTGGGTTTGGGGCATGTCATGCATGTGGTCGGTTCCTTTTGTTTTTTCGATCGCATAGACCAGAAGTGTGACAGCGTGACGACTTGGGATATCTGCAGGCACACATCCATAGGCCTACGACTGTGCTAGCAGCTTAGACGCTTCCAGATGGATTGGTTCAACGGTTCGGCGTACTAGGCTCTTCTTGTGACGTTCCGGGCGATGAGCGCGGATTTCTGTATGCTTTTCGTGCCGTGAGGCACGTGCCGCTTCGGCAAGCTGCAGTTGGGGTGCACACCGTGCCGATGTTTTGTTTGTTAGTAGCGCTGATAACGCACAACTGCACGGACTATACTGAAATCATCGAGGCTACGACTGGTGCCTACTGTTACAACTGGTAGGGCTACTAAGTACAGAGTGCTACGGTGCAGCTTACGAAGTTTACTGCCCTCTGTGTTGTTAAGAAACCTTTTTGTTACGGCAGTGTTAGAGTTGCCAGCTGCTAGAATTATGGCCAACAACGACCACCATGGAACGATAACTGTGGTCAATCTCAGCTCCATCGCGCTGGAATCACTGTCTCGCAGTGTCCCTACGACTAGCATCTGTCTCGAGGACGAGTGCAGTATCAGTGTAGAGAGCTGTGTGGTGCATCCGCAACGATGACGGCCGCTGAATGATAAGACATGTCGAGCACTTCAAGCCCCAGCAGCAGCAGACTTTTCGCTGCGCATCAAGCGCCGCTGCTGTGGTCATCCGAAACTTCCCCATGTGATGACGGATTGCTGCAGCTTCATTGTGCGCTTTGTTTAAGACCGTGCGTTGGGCACATTGAGGAGAGGCTGCTTCCTGAGCATGCAAGTGAGTTACAGCTGAAATTGCAGACAGGGTCAACTGAGTCTAGTAAATCCGATCGGCGCGAACACTGGGTCGTTGGGTCTGAATAGACAGGCTGGACCTCGAATCAGGTCTCCCCGACTCATAAATATCCCAGAGCTAACCACGCTAGTTCTGAGGGTCCTTACCCAGAGGCCCCATAGTAGTTCCTTCTTGGGATTACCTTATAGGACTATTTTTGTGCACTCCAAAAAGGAACTACTTCGGGGCCTTTGGGTCTTCTCCAGCTCACAACTCCCAGAGACTCCGTATACAGGACCATTATGGAGTTAGGTCCCAACAGGCCATCCCAAACTCTGGTTTTGGGCGACCAACCTGGACCCCAACAGTATGTAGAATAATAGCCCTTTATAGGCTTTGGGCCGTTATTTTACCTACTTTTGGGGGTGTGGTACTTCCATAATTGTAGTGTATATGGACCCTTTGGGATTACAGTCGTTCTTATCAAGAACAGTGGATCTGAGCGTGACGCCCTCGGGTGCTTTGCTTGTTGAGGTTAACCGGGCCAACCTGACTTATTACTATAGTGGCGGTTTCTTTCAAGTACTTCTCTACAAAAGAGCGCTAAAAGCTAAAGCTATCTAGTAGTACTGGAAGTAGTAGTACTGCTACTACTCCTACCCTTACTCCTCCTACTTCTACTCCAATTTTTCTCCCACTCCTACTTCTACTCCTGCTACTATACTCCTACGACGACGACGACTACTACTACTACTACTACAACTGCGCTTCTTGCACGCTTGCGCAAAACTTGTGTCTGTGTGTGGGTGCAAAGGGTAAAACTGAATCGTCACTTATCGGGACAGTCATTTCCACCAACCCATGTTGATATTCATATATATATATATAGGTATGTATACACACCTACTCTTGCGTATACTATATAATATATTCACCCCGGCATACGATTTATTTGCACAGATACAACTACAGTGCAGCTTCGTAGGCTTTGCATCTGAGCTCTAGATTTCGCAAATGTGTCGGTTCGTGCCAGAGCTTGCGACAGGAAGCAGGAATGCGCAGTCTTGAAAGCGGCACTGCAATGGGCTGCAGTAAAAGCTTTGCCACCGCCTGCAGGGCTGTTTTATTGTCTGAGCTACATGTGTCAGTGAGAGCTCTTTGACAGTTTTGCGCCATTTCGTGCCGTGCGATTTGTTTGCATGTTTTATAATTGTTGTTACTGGTTCGGTCTCCGCTGTCTGCCGACGCTGAAGAGCATTACGGCTTCTATTCTAGCTTCGGCTGTCGTGGTTATCAGCAGTCGGGGTCTGTCCATGCAAGAACACCATCCCCTTACAGCCCCTAAACAATTGCACCATACTGCATAGAGCCCAATTCTAAAGATTAAGGCCTCCCGATCGAAGAACCCTTGTAGGACCCCTTACACTGCGAGCCATAGTAGTCAAGAAAACGAGCACAGACGAGCTTGTGCTGAGGGGGCCTCGCTCCACTGGGAGATTCACGATTGAGGGATTGTCTGTTTATGCCCATAAAAGTTACGGTGCTCCTAACCTCACTTGCTAAGTCCCATGAAGAAGAGTCTATCTGTTTACAACCACAATGAAAGTAATTACTTGTAACCCTGCTGACGACCGGAGTCCCAGTCGGAAGAGATGGCGCAGGTCGGATGCGGAGTATTCCTGGAGCTTTGTTTTTAGGAATGCAAATGGGTGAAGGGTCAAGGGCCTATCCCTAAACCCTAAACCATATGCCTATGGTTTAGGAGTCCAGGGTCCGAGTTACCATATCGGTCTCTCTGGTCGTTTTTAGTAAACGTGGTGTGAGTTCTTTGAATTTGGGTTTCGTGTTCCCAGTTTTGACCACCCGGAGAAGCCCGAAATGCAAAAATCATCCTCCGCCGCTGAAGCACTTGAGCCACTCTTTGTACCCGAATCTGTCGGGCCTTTCAGTCTTGGCTGCGTGAATGCTGCCAGTATTACATTATATTGACATCACAGGGCTATGCATGTAGTTAGCATAAGCTACTATTAGCAATGCTCATATCGTGCATCTCCATGTTGCTATCAGTTGTTGCTACGGCAATAGTTGTCGGAATGCTGCCGAGATACTTACCATCATTATTGCTCTTTGAGTGTTGCTATTCACTGTTTTTCATATGCATCTCCGCTGGTACTGTCACCATATGGTTCCCCTATAGCTATAAACTGTAGAGTACCGCAAAAATCCTAAACCCTAAACCCAAAGCTAGTAATATAGGGGCCTTAATTATTGGAATAGGAAATTGGGGTCCATTTTACTATAACTATAATCAGGAACCACCAAAATAGTATAGGTAAATATTTAGGCCCCTATAGTAGGATCTGTCAGAGCTCGCACCTGGATCAAAGGACGTGTTCGGATGCGGGGAGGCCCTGGCCGTGGCTCGAAGATCAAAAGGATCCTTTTTGGGTTCCTTAAAGGGATCTACAAGGGTTCTATGAAGGGATTGAGTTCTTGGCTTGTGAAATCGTAAGGAGCGAGGGTTTCGAGTTTGGGGCTTAGGTGAACTAGTAGGGCAACCAGCATTTAAAGTTTCGGGTTTAGGAGACATTGCAGGCAACTAGGGTTGAATTTTTCGTCGAAGCTGTAGGAAGCCAGTGTTCAAGGGTTTAAAGTTGAGGGGTTCAGGGTTTAGGGGTTTACAGTTAATTAGCGTTGCTGGGCATCTTCCGACTCCAAAGTCGTAGCTCCCCGCCCCCCTAGGACTGCAAGGCTTGCAATTGGGATCGCATGGAGGCTACGGTGCGCCCTTAAAGGGAACTCCAGAAAGTTGGAATATGGATTAATGGTAGGATCCCCTATAATTTACCTTAAAGGGGTTACGATAATGATATTCCAATTTTCTGGCTTCTACTGTACATGGTTCGGGATTGAGACCGTGCATGAAGTATTTTGCAGGTGTCGGCAGGGGTGACAGGAAACAAGATTGCCGCAACAACTGCCGCTTGAATCCTGGAATTCTTAAAACCTTGCACGTAGATACCGCAGGGTTGAACTGATTCCAGCCAGCTCTGACATTTCATTGAAGCCGTGAGTCTTCGCGTTCTTGCATGCGGCAAGATCCGAAACAAACTGAGATCTCTTCTTGCTTTAGTCTTGACTGCTACCATACCCCGCAGAATCCGAGCCAAATGCTGACTCGAATCGTTGTGGGGTTGGTTCAATTCAGTATCCACGCCTTGGTATTGCGGTATAGAAGCATCTTCGAAGTGCAGGCAATCAAGCGCCCAAAGCTGCGGTAGGAGATCCGTAACCCCTTGCAGAACCCTTAAGGGATCTCCGTGTAAATTCCTCATATTGAAAGAACCCTTTAAAGATCTCCATAGGCCCTGAAACTTAGTAGCTGCGCAGATAGCCTTCAACCTTTTGGGGTTCAGCTAACTCTACCATAATTTAAAATGTTAACCTTGTTGGGCTAGGATAGTCAGAAAACCTTAAGCCCTCAAGCAAGGTAGGATCTCCACACTATATAGTGCCTTAATGAGTACCTATACTATTGTGGGGCTTCTTTATTATAACTATAGTATAAAGTACCCCAAACCGTACTCTGATTATTAAGGCCCTTATACTAGAGAACCCTACTAATTATAGATCCCTTGCAAACCCCTTTCCGGAACCCTTTCAAGGAACCCTATTCCAATTATTAGGCCCTACCCAGACCCCCGGAAGGATCCAAAAAGTAGATCCCTTAATTGGCGTTCCTATAAAATACTCGTACCCTTAGTAGTATAGGGCGGGGATCTACTTTCTAGATCCTCCCGGGGGTCTGGGTACATTAAGCATCAAGAACCCAGGCTCCTCCTCGCCCTCGTGGGGGACATGGAGTTCTGTCGAGTTCTACCTTCCGCTACCACGCACAATGCGAGGGGCCCGAGAGCCGAGGGTTTAGTAGGGTATAGGGCCTAGGTTTAGGGTTCTTCCCCTAGTATTGTTGCTTTTTTTCAAATTATCTAATGACTATTACTGCTACTACTACTGCTGCTACTACTACTACTACTACTACTACTACTACTACTACTACTACTACTACTACTAAGGTGCAAGAGAAGCCCGAACAATTTGTAACACTATCCCTCTGGGTTTCTTACCACATCTGCTCTACAACATGCCCCAAATTCCTATCCCAATTGTACAGGCCTCTGCTGGACATTCAGGTAACAGAGTGGCTTTCATAGAAAACGTGCGTGCCTGCGTGTATATTAAACTGACCTTAGCAGATCGGATCGGCATGGGGTTTAATGCTGCATCTCTGGCGAGAGACCTCGGATGTCGAGTTCGAGGGGAGTTGGCTTTGGTAGGTTGCACCGTGCCTATACGCATTTACAGGCTGGAAAGATGACACATGTCATGGCTGCTGCCCTGAGATAGCCATGCTGTCGCAGATAGGCTGCAGCGAGCTACGCTGATACAGCTTCGTTTCGGCTACTACTCGCGGGCATCGGCTACGTGTAATTAGCCAGTAATGACATGCAAGGCACAGTCTTTTCAATGCAGTTTGTTTTTGGTTTTCGAGATATTGGCTGTAGTCTCCTTTCGAAGGATTCTTGCCTGGTGCGTAGACGGTCCTACACGCCAGTCCACCAGACGGTGTAGCATTACCACATCAGAGCCGATGTGTCGCTGAGCGTCCACAAGTTTTCAAGACTCCGCAACCCCCTTCAGACATCAAGGTCATTATCGGCGCATTGGGGTCTCAGCGCGAGACGTCACGCGCCCTGGACACCCTGTCCTGCAAAGAGTTCGGCAAACGGTGTATCAGCTGATGCTTTTCTGCTGCGACCTGGCATGTGTCTGTCAATGTTGGTCAATCCGTGCCCAGTCTGCGACCCTAATACAGTATACCCTAAATAGTAGGAATTTTATGGACTCCAAAATAAGGTACCCTAAATAGTAGGATCCTTACTATCAGGACTCCCAAAATACGGTACCCTTAATTATCGGAAACTCTCCCAGCCGCCTGGCGAGGATCTGTTCGATACTCTCAGCTCCTTGGAGCAAGAGCCGGATGCGATCACGCAGCACGGCTTGGGATGTACGATAGGGGCTTAAATAATCGCCATGCAATACTATTTGGGGTTCCTTGTTATACTGATATAATAGTATAATGGGTCCCAACACCCTGTTAAACCAATAAAGGCCCCTACAAAACGTGCGTGTCCCTAAGGAGGTCTGCAGAAGCGGTACGAATGTTTCCAGCAGTAGCCTTCGAACCAACAAGATCCACAGTTTATTTCTGTCCAGAGGGCAGAGCGAGGGCAGCGAAACTATTCAATCAGCCAATTAGCGTTATGAACGAGAAGCAGAGCAAGCCATCAGGATGCAAGTTATATACATGTTCACTGTAGGGATGAAACACTGGATGACATGCTGACGCACACAATTGGACAATATTGGCCATCATACACAAAAAGATAATCTAGTGTAAGGCATTTTTGTCGTGTCATAACGGTAACGTAGAACAGCCAATGCTGCCTTACTTGTTTTAGATGGCCAATGCTTTTTTGACCAGTTTTAGTCAGTCACATAACCAGCATTGCCCAAGTACCCTTGAATAGAGCCCTTATGGCCCTTAATAGTGGGTATTCAGGGTATCATAGAGGGTAGTTGGATGGTGCTGGAAGGCCTAGAGAGTCGTCTCGTGACAGGATCTTGGCAGAGTGTTGTGCTTCCCATCTCATGGCATCGGATGCACAAACATAATACAAGGGCTAGTATGAGGGCTGTTATAAGGATTTAACAGAAGGGCCTTAATAAGCATCCTTATATACTATTCTTGAACCCAGACAAGGCGCCGAGAAGTTGAACTGAAAGCCCTAAACACGCGGTTCTGTGAGAAAGTTCACCTGTACAGCCGTGCATAAACTGCTAATTTCCTGAACCTTGATGCAGCTAAGTCCATCATCCATCATAAGACGCAGCGGCTCTCGCCGTCTCTGACAGAGGACTCCTCCCATCGCTGCCCAGGTATACGCAGGCGTTCAAAGCCCACGAAGCTGCTTCCCAGTGGGCCCCGCCACTGACGTTGCTGAGCCTGGGACGAATTACCTTCACCACGGGCTTTGCACTTCGGGTTTCACGGCCTCGACAGTCTTGAGAGTGGAGGGGGCAGAGGTTGATACGAATAGGTGTCTAGGGGTTACTTACCCCCGGATAGCAGACGAAACTGCAAGCTCAGGATTAAAAGGATTTGCATGAGGTCTGGGCTCCGAGTCCTCCTAATCCCACTAGGCTCCAAGCCCTTCAAAGCCTGGTCCGAAGCACAAAGACGCAGACCCGACAACGCCAATCCTGTGAACCATATAACAGACAACACAGCTCCGACGGTTCCTTCCGGGAGCAGAGAGAGAGCATGGTTTTTGGGCTTTCTGACTTTGTTCTGGATTGGGACAGCAATCTGTTCAGAAACCGTTTTTGGGCAACCTTTGCAACGCCAAGGGTTGATCCTGCGCTGTGGACAGGTTACCAGTTGTGTGTCAGGTCGGTTTGTTCATTTTCGAGGGTTTGGGACTTCGGATGTCGGCTTAAAGGCCGGAGGTTTCAGGGTTTTGTGTGCTCTTCGTCGCTCTGCTTGGGCCGACACCTTGTCAAGCTACTACGCCACTAAGCTTTCCGTTAGCAGGCTTTTTTTAACGAAAGCCTCATCCCGTGTTTGGACATGTAGTTAACACACCAGTTCATGTAGTTGCACAGCCTGTGTCACAGCTTCTTCTGGTTTCCGTTGTTGACGAGCCAAAACGGCTCAGGAACAAGATGTGCACGGCTGGCACAACCCCGAACGTGGTCACCTATGGGGCCGTCCTCTCGGCCAATGCTGCTGTGGAGGAGGCAGGACAGCTTCTTTCAGGTTGCGGGGATAAAGTGCCCACAGGCATGCGGTGGGAGTATGCAATCAAATGCCTCACTCTGTCGCTCTTCCACGTCCCTGAGCCCACGATATACTTATAGACATATATATATATATATATATATATATATGGTCACCCCCCCCCATGACAGACCATCCCCTTCAAAACATCGCTCCCACCGGCGTGTTCGTGCTTTTTCCGGGGTATCGAGTTTGAGCCCTCCGAACGTATCTGTGGAACCACCAAGAGACTGAGACCCGTTGACAGACCATGCCCTTTCAACTCAGTCGTAGCGCATGGTCTGTGATCGGGGGGAGGTGGCACTCAGCTTTCAAAAACTCAATTCCAAAATTTCAAAAATTTCCAAAATTCTCTCCCCTAACTTTCCGGATTTCCAAAATTTCCAAAAATTCCAAAATTTCCAAAAAGTTCGCCCTTATGTTTTGGAAAATCCTATCGGCTAGGTCGGGCCGTTTTGGAAATTTTGGAAATTTTGTAAATTTTATAAATTTCGGAAATTTTGGAAATTTTTGAAATTTTGGAAATTTTGAAAATTTTGAAAATTTCGGAAATTTCGGAGATTTCGGAGATTTCGGAAATTTTGAAAATTTTGAAAATTTCGGAAATTTCGGAGATTTCGGAGATTTTGGAATTTTTGGAAATTTTGGAACTTCTGGAATTGATTTTCAATGGGCTGATTGTGACCCATCGGATGACAGACCATGCACCACGACTCACTTGCAAAGGCAAGGTCTGTTTAGACGATTGTCAGTGTTTATCTATTTTTCTACATTGGTACTCCTACGAATACTATTACCAATACTCATTCTGACATTGATCATTTGCTGACTGCCCAAGCTAATACCAGCATTAACACTAATATTTACACTTTTTTAAGCCAATACGAATAGGCACCATACAAATAACAAATACTAATAATGATTAATACTGACGTTCATACTCCTACGCATATCAATAATTATGCCCATATTGGTAGTAGTGTATTTTAATTCCAATACTAAAACACACCTGCATATACCAATATACATAAATTTAGTATTCTCATGTAATCAGGAGTAATACTAATATAAGACAAACGTTCATGCGAATACATAACCTCATTTTAATATTAGCACTCGCACTAGCACTATTACTAATACCAATCACACTGTTTATACCAACACCACGATTTACATAAGTATTGATACTCCTACGGATACTACTGCGTATACTCTTATGCTGTTAACAGTAATGCTGTCACCAATACTAATACTGACATTGATAACTTGCTGAATATTCAAGATAATGCCAGTATTAATACCATTATTAACACTTATACTAAGGCTAATGCGACTATGGATAATCCTAATACGAATATTAACATTAATACTCCTACGAATACCAATAGTCATATTCATATTGATGTGAAGACTAATACCATTACAAAAGACACGTGCATATGCTAATGCACACCAGAACACATACCATTAACTTAAAATGCCGATATGTATCAATGCATTCATGTACTGATGTTTTAGGACAAGCATATACCCATATACCAATGTAACAATACACTACTACTGTTAATGTGTGAATATACTATACTAGTATGCTATTATACTAGTATGCTACTATACTAGTATGCGACTACTGTAATATGCAAGTATACCGACGTGGCAGGTTAGTGTACTAATATGACAACATACTGATACACTTATAAATCTTTAGACAATACACGTATATTGCATATACTAGTATACTAATACACTAATGTACGAACATACTGGTATGTTAAAATACTAATGTATTATTACAGCAATATACTAGTTTACTCATGCATCAGTTGTACTAAAGTATTAAATCTACGAATATGCAAGTATACAAATATGTTGCCTCTCGAACACATCAATGTGTTGATATACTAACCTGCTGATATACGAAACTATCAGAATAGTAACATATCGAAACTAACTCTAACTTTGATACCAATACTAGCACCTCTGCCATTATTAACTGATATTAAACCCAGCATGAAGACTGATACTAATACTAGCAGTGGTACTATTACTGGCATTGACACTGGCACTAACACTAAGACTAAAACGAAGATGAGCACTAACATTAATGTATACTTACTACTGTCGATATATACATATATATATATATACATACTTACAGTAAACACTAATACTATTGCTGATACTATTACTAATACCAATATTAATACTCATACTCATCCTATATCAATGCTACCACAAAACTCACAACTCACGTGTCGCGCATCTGGTCCATGCGTCCTCAGTACATGGCATGTTAAAAGTATACTTGGTATATGTGCTGTAAAGGATTTGCTTTACAGATTGTCGTCATGTGTGGTGTGTTTAGATGCAATATCTCAGCCTAGTCACCGAACGAGAGTACACTATCACAAGGGCATGGTCTGTCAACGGGGGGCGGTGAGCATATATATATATATACTTGTTTATTTATGCAGAGAGAGACAGAGATGTAAACATCTAGATATAGATACAGACAGGTATGTGGTTGCGTGGTATATCCGAAGAGATGCACATGTACGAGTTGGAGATGCGATTACCGATCTTCCACATGCACATAGTGCTGGGAATTCCGAGAAAGTCGAACGATCATCCAGCTTCCTGCATATGTCGCTGGCGCTTGCATGCCTGCACAGGACTCTGATCAAGTCCGGAAGGCATGGATTCGTTCCCTGAGCTGCTGTACTTCCATGGCGGCACAAGGCAGCATCTTCGAACCTTTGCCACGCGAAGCTTCAGCATCGGTGTCGCGTGTAGGACCAGACTGGTATGGTTGGGATGCCAAAGCATGCAGCCATTGTCGATGGCTGTCCCATGCTGCAGCTTCTTGCGATGGGTGAAAATCATATGATGTAGTGCAGGCTTGCAGTAGAAGGATTTCGGGCAATCAAGATCACATATTTCGAGAAGACCAGGGCTTGAGGAAGGACCGCATGCAATGCCAATGCCCTGGAGGTGTTGAGGCAAACATCGTCATTTTTAGCACGCTCTTGAGCAGCTGTGGAAGCTCGGCCAATTTGTTTGAGTTGGCGATCTAGAGTTAGCCGCACGTTTCCCTAGGGATCTGAGGACTTTGTGTTCAGGCTTTTGGGCCCAAAGACCATACCATATAATTTGTCATAGTTGGGTAACATTTTACATTTTTATGGGTACTTGAACCCAATAAGGAGTACAAATGTACATTTTGAATCCTATCCCAACAATGAACTAGATAAGGTGTTTGGGCTGTTTTGATCCCCAGGGTTTTGCGTGATCACGAGAATAGGGGCCGACTTTCAAAGGGGACTTAAAGGGGGCTTGAAGGGGTCTTAAAGGCTTAAAGGGGGGCAGCAGCACCATGTTTTGTGTCGGAAGTTAAACCCAGAGAACCCAATACCCCTGAACTAAGGAATATATACCTTAAACCATAATCATCATAATCTGAAGCCCCCTATAATTCAAGGTATAATCCCTAATTAAGGGGTATTGGGATCTCTGGGAAGTTTCCCATATCGGAGCTTGAGTGGGCGCAAAGTTTCTCTTTTGCTGCATAAACTCTTCTGCTCAGCGCTGCCACTCCCGTCTACCATCGGATTCAACTTGTAGATGGTTGTCAAAATTATGGTCCCTTTTTGGGTCCTTAATATAATACGGCACCCAATATTTCAGGTACCCAAACAGGGACCATAATTTTGACAACTACCCTTGTGGATCCGGCAACTTCAGCCCGCAGATGTTTCCCCCTCGACTTCTGCACACAGCCCAGGAAAGGGATACAGTTGGGCCCAATCGCTTCATCATGCAGAGAGGCCGTCGAAAGCCAAACATCTTGCCTCTGGGGAAGAGACGGCTTGGTCGCTAGAAGGGACTGTCTGCTCCGTGCCAACTTGCGGCTTTTTGGACTTGCGAAATCGAGGCCAAAACTTCGCATCTGCATGCCCAAAACGCGATTTATTTCTAGCAGCCGAAATCAGAACCTCAAACCCTGAACCCTTGCTATTGAACGTCTTCCAACCCTTTGTGTTTCTTCTCGTGGCTGCGCATGCAGGATGGGAAGCTGCTCGGTGCGAGCCAATGCCCGGATGTGCAGCGCCACTTGTATTAACCTATATCTTGTGAAGGGTCTTGGAGTCACAGGTTTGCGGCTGTCCGTACCTAGTGCATGGCGGTGTTCATGTCAAGGTTAGCCGTTGTGGATCAATAGCATGATTTAAAAAGCTGCTTTTTGCGCGTTCCTGTTTGCATCTACATGACATCAGTCTATGCTCTGGGTTCAGGATTTCCAAGTTGCTGGTATTTTCTGGAGCACACCCCATGGCCAACTGCAAAAATGGATGCAGGTAGCTCGGTTCTATGGTCACTTCTATTTAAGAGCCTTTTTACAACAATGACTTGAAGCAAGCCCTGATTCAGAGCTGAGAACACATGAGGTTTGACTAGTGTTTCAATTCAAGGTCATCTCAAGTCTTCTGTGGCCGAATGCGACACTCAATGGAGAAATGCTTCCATGCGATGTTCTCCAAAGTTTACTTCGAAACTTCGTGTCCCATGCAAGAACTCCGAAAGGTTCTCATGAGTTAAACCTGGATCAATCGTAGATTGTGTCTAGACCTTCGTGAGGTTCTGTCCTGAATAATCCTTATAGAGGCCTTCAGCTTCAGGCGCTGCTGACATCCTGCCTGGCCGGTGCACAGTGGCGCTGGGCTCTATGGCTTTGGTCCTCAACTTGGGCAGCTGTGCCGGATTTCAAGTACCGTGAGGGCCATCACTTCCCACACTTGCACTATTATCATTGTCAAGGTACTAACTGTAATGGGACTGATGGCGAAACTATTGGCTGATATCATGATATACCAATACCAAGGTGGTGCCATTTTTCGTGTGGCATCGCCCTAAGTCCCAAGTGTTAGTCGTGCCCCCGATCGTCGTTGAATTCTTGTTGGCCTACTCCGTGGGGCTTTGTTGCTTGCCCTGGCAACCTGGCCTTCGCCATGCATATGACGTCAGAGCATGCGCGACTCTTCGCACCCCAGAGGGCACACGTCAAGGGCTTTGTGCCGGAGCT